TGAGTCAGTTCCAACTCGATGGCACCTGACAACAACAACAACAAGGTTTGTGGAAGTGATACCCTTTGGGAGGCTGACCAGTGTATAAACTCAGGAATTCCAATGGTAGCTAGCTAGAAAGACTAAAACAAAGTCCTTCCCTCAGAACCACCAGAGGAAGGATCTTCCCCATCTATAACTGTTATCTTAACTTCACACAACTAGCCTCCTAAACTGAGAAAATACTTCGACTCTGACTTCTCAAGCTGACCTTTGAAATTTTCTATACAGCTCTTTTACTCCTCATTTCTTCCATTTCCTATAGCATCTCTGGAGAGCAAGTTTCAGAGTCTCTTCTGACATTCAGTTTGGTTCTTTCCTTCTTTCTTGTCTTCTTAATGAACTTTTGCTTTCTTTTTGTATGATGTTCTTGATGTCATCCCATAGCTCTTCTGGTCTTTGGTGTTTAGTGTCTAATGCATCAAATCTATTCTTCAGATGATCAATAAATGCAGATGGGATATGCTTAAGGTCATATTTTGGCTTTCATGGACTTGATGTAATTTTTCTCAGCTTCAGCCTAAAATTACATATGAGCAATTGATGATCCCTACCGCTCATCTGTCAGTTTGTTGTACTGTGGTGGCTTGTGAGTTGCTATGATTCTAGAAGCTATGCTATCAGTATTTTAAATACCAGCAGGGTCACCCATGGTGGACACGTTTCAAATGAACTTCCAGACTACAACAGACTAGGAAGAAGGAGTGACGAACTACTTCCAAATATTTAGTCACTGAAAACCTTATGAAGGGAAGAGAAACACTATCAGATATAGTGCTGGAAAGTGAGCCCCTCAGATGGAAGGCACTCAAAATGTGACGGGGGAAGAGCTGCCTCCTCAAAGTAGAGTTGATCATGATGATGCAAATGGAGTAAAGCCGGTGGGACCTTCATTTGCTGATGGGGCACAACTCAAAATGAAAGGTTGTATAAATATCAATTAATAATCAGAAAATGGAATGTACAAAGTATAAATCTAGAAAAATTAGAAATTGTCAAAAATGAAATGTAATGCATAAACATCGATATCTTAGGCATTAGTGAATTGAAATGGACTGGTATTAGCCATTTTGAATCTGACAACCACATGATTTACTATGCTGGGAATGACAAACTGAAGAGGAATGGTGTTGCATTCATTGTCAAAAAGAACATATCTAGATCAGTCATGAGGTACAATGCTGTCTGTGATAGGATAATATCCATGTGCCTACAGGGAAGACAAGTTAATACCACTATTATTCAAATTTATGCACCAATCACTAAAGTCAGTGAAGATGAAATAGAAGAATTCGACCAACTTCTTCAATCTGAAATTGATCAAACATGAAATCAAGATGTATTGATCATTAGCAGTGATTGGAATGCAAAGGTTGGAAACAAAGAGGAAGGATCAGTAGTTGGAAAATATGGCCTTGGTAATAGAAATGATGCTCGAGATCACATGATAGAATTCTACAAAATCAATGATTTGTTCATTTCAAATACCTTCTTTAGACAGCATAAGAGACAGATGGAATACATAGAAATCAAATTGACTACATCTGAGGAAAGAGGTGATGGAAAAGCTCCATATCATCAGTCAAAATAAGGCCAGAGGCAGATTGTGGAACAGACCATCAATTGCTCATATGCAAATTCAAACAGAAGATGAAGAAAATGAAAGAGCCAAAATATGACCTTAAATATATCTCACCTGAATTTAGAGATCATCTGAAGAGCAGATTTGATACATTAAACACTAAAGACCAATGACCAGAACAGTTGTGGGATGACATCAACAACATAATACAGGAAGAAATAAAAAAGTCATTAAGAAGACAAGAAAAAAGGAAAAACCAAATGGATGTCAGAAGAGACATTGAAATTTGCTCTCCAGCATAGAGATGTTAAAGCAAATGGAAGAAATGTGGAGGTCCAAGAGCTGAATAGAAAATTTCAAAAGTCAGCTTGAGAAGACAAAGTCAATTATTACAACAAAATGTGCAAAGATCTGGA